TCTTTTTTTCACCATGTCTGAGTTCCATCTTTTATCGACCATCATTCGTTTTGTGGGTTCATGTAACATTTCTCTATATCTATGTTGAGCCTCTTCCCTTGCTGCATTCTACCAATTCCTGGATTCTACTGAATTATCGATTTCTCTAATCTCTATTTTTATAATCATATTTCCTACTCTAAAATAGGAAGCCATCTAAAACAGAATTAAATTATACGTATATTACACTATAATCATACCACATATTATCTTTACACTTAAATCTGATTTTCTTTTAAAATTTAAACTCTCCACATCTATGATACTCATAATTCTTTCAGTTTTGTTAACACCAAAACTAAACCATTACAATTTAAAATTAAGATTCTCATAATTGTCACTTATTCATCAGCAAATTTATTATATTTATCATCAATTTTAAACACAAAATTATGATTCTCATAATGTTGATATGACCGATTAATACTAACCTTTAAATTGATTTTTTTTTATGTTTATATAAATTGATTTTTTTTATATAAATTGTGTAAATTGATTTTTTTTATATATTAATATGAAAATTGTTATATAAGCCTGATTTTTTAGTTTGATAAAAAAAATGTAAAATTTTAAAATAAATTATATAAAATTAAATTTGTAACTTTGATTTATTCTAAATTAAATAAAATAAACTCGTAACATTCTTAAAAAAAAATCAATTTAAAGGTTAGTATTAATCGGTCATATCAACAGTTCCGCTACATATTTGATTAATTTGAAAAAGTGAAGAATAATTAAAAAATTTTGGGACAATAATAATAAAACAAAGTCCATTGACAAATTAGAAGATTATTTTAAATTTCATGATAGTAAGAATACTCTAAGCTTAATAGGTAATTTACCAAATGAATTATATTTAGTCATGAAAGCTGTGTTTCCAAGAGAGTTAAATTCAAGTTATGATGAAGCATTGTGTACATTAAAATGTTTATGTCCTACAGAAATAAAAAAAATCAATTTAAAAGTTAGTATTAATCGGTCATATCAACACATAATTATCACTTGTTATACCTAAAAATCTATTATGTTTATCATCAATTTTCAAATACCCTCAGTTATGATTCTCATAATTTTACCCAACTTGTTAAAACAAATTAATTATGTCTATCATCAACACTTAAAATTAAGATTCTCATAATTATCACTTGTTATACTAAACAAATACATTATGTTTATCATCAATTTTAAGACTCATTGTTCCTAACCTACACACCTAGGTCTTAATTGTTTAATATGCCTTGCATATGTTCCTTCTTGTCCTTCAATTTCTACTTCTACCTTTTCCTTCCTATATTCTTACTTACTATACCCTTCCCCCATTTAATTGGACCATCAAAAAGTAGAATCCATACTAAACTTCCAACTTTGAATTTCTCTCCTCATATTATAATTCCTTTGCTTTATTTTTTCTTTCATAAAATCTAATTCAGTTCATGTTTTTCTACCTAAAAACATCTCTACTGGTGAATTCCCTTTGCTACTCTTAGTATTGTTATATGCTAATAATAATAACCACCATTTTCCCTCTCCGTATTTTTCTTTTTTAACCAATTTTTAACTATAGCCACCATTCGTTAAGCTTATTATTTCTTGGATGTGGTGGAGATAATAAATGTTCAATCTTCCATCTATCACAAAACTTATTAAATGCTCTGCCTCTGAACGCTGGACCACCATCGGATACTAAGGTCCATTAATCCATATTTACTTACAAAATCTTTTATCTTATCTAAAGCTATTTTTGTTGATAGACCTGATACCTGTTGGCAATCTATCCATTTTGAACCTGCATCTAACATAATAAAATATTTCTTTCTTTCATATTCTAAAAAATCTATGTGTATTCTTTCACATGGCACATTTGTTTCTGTCCATTTATCTTCCATATTTCTTGCTGGTAAATTTGCACACATATTACATGTTTCACAACTCTTAGCTAATTCTTCTATTTCACTATTCATCTTAGGCCACCAAATGTATTCTCTTGCTTTATTCTTCATTCTTTCTATGCCTTGATGTCCTGTATGTATTACTCTTGCTTTATTCTTCATTCTTTCTATGCTAGATGTCCTGTATGTATTACGTCTAATGCATCTTTTCTTAACTTATTGGGTATCACTAATCGATATCCTCTCAATAAACAATTGTCTTCTATATTTAATTCACTTCTTATATTCTTAAAGGCTTTGTCTTTACCGTTCCATTCTGCATCTCCCTTCAAACAAGTTCTAATTTTTATTAATTCTTCATCTTTTTTGGATATCTCCTCTACTATTTAAAAAGTTATAGGTTTTTCTCTTGTATCTATTTTCAAAGCTCTTATCACATTACTATTTAATCTTCTTCTTCTTCTTCTATATATTCTAAACTATTGATTACTGGATCATTGTCTTCAATATCTTTATCAAACAATCTCGATAATATATCTACTCTTATCTCAACATCCAAATTACCAACTAAAATTAATCATTTTTGTAACCTTGGTGAAATCATAGGTTCTTTATTTTCCTTCTTAAATAAATCTACCAAAGGCTTTATGATCGGTATATAAGAAAAACCTTCTTCCAATCAGATATTCTTTGCACTTCGCGCCCGAATTTCACAGCAAGAGCCTCCTTCTCGATGGTGGAGTAATTTTTCTCAGTGCTACTAAACCGTCTCGATAAAAATAAAATCGGTTTCTCAACATTATCTGTCATCTGTAATAAAGCTCCTCCTATACCTTCATTAGATGCATCTATAGCTAATATAATATCTAAGTTCTCATTAAAACAATTTAAAGACGGTTTCTCTATCATCTTTATTTTCAATTTATTCGAAACTTTCCTCCTGTGCTTCTCCCCATTCAAACCTTTTATTTTTCTTTAATAAATCATACAACGGTGCGGCAATCTCTGCAAAATTTTGAACAAAACGATGATAATAATTCGTTGCCCCTAAAAATGCCTGTACTTCCGTTTTATTATTTGGTGCTCTCATGTTCATTAATTAAGTAATTTCATTTCCCTTTATAATATGTCCTAAATACTTTATTTCTTTTACTCCAAAAACACTCTTATTCATATTAGCTCTTAAACCATTTACTATTATTATATCTTACACTTTAACTAATCTCATATTGTGTTCTTCTTCTGTTCTACCACATATTAAAACATCATCTAAATAATACATTATTCCCCTTATTCCTTGGAATAAAGCTATATAGTTCTTTGAAATATTGGAGCTGATACTTTCAAACCAAATGATAAACGGCAAAAAGCAAATAATCCTCTATGCGTTGTAATCGTTAATATCTTACTTGTATTCTCACTTACCTTAATTTGCGAGTAATGTTGCTCTTTTTAAATTAGCCAATAATTGTTCTATTCTAGGTAATGGATATTTTTCCTCTATCAACCACGGGTTAAGCGATACTCTATAGTCTATACATAGTCTTAAACTGTTATCTTATGGGAACTAATGGTGTTGCCCATACACTATGCACTATTGGTCTTATTATTCCTTCTTTAAGCCTTTTGTCTAATTCATAGGCGTAGCCAGGGGGGGGGGCAAGGGGAAATCCCCTTTCCCTTTAGAAATATATCACTTTTCGTAAATATCATTTTAAACTAATAAAAAATACGTTCCTTAGTCCCCTCCAATTCCCTGTCTCTCAAAAATGTATGCATATATTTTCTTAAACAATAATGAAAGAAATAATGAGAGTTACTAATTTTTTAAACTTAAACTATTGACTATAATTTATATTTTTTATAAAGATTTATATATAAATATATATAAAAAAAGTGATACCAAAAATGTATTTTAAAAAATGAAATATGTCATAAGACAAAAGTCAATTTTATATAATTACTATTAATAGATCTATAACTAAGTAAATAAATATGGTTAAATATAATTTTATATAGTGAATTATTTTAATTTATTTTTCTTAATAAAAGTAAAATTTAATTACAAAATTATTAATAAAATTAATTTATAAATTTAATAAAAAATTAACATAACCATATTCCCATTTTTTTTAAATTTCCTTCCAATTTATTTTTAAAATTTATTTTGCAATTTTTTGACCGAGCAACAAGCATTATATTTGTTTTAAAATTGATTTGGACATCAGAAAATATCTTTTAAATAATGTAAATGAAAAAGGTAATTCTATATTTATTATAATAAACATTAATTTCCTATCAAGATCATCATCGCAAAAAATTGATTCAATTTCAAGTAAAAATTGGGTATCAGAAATATTATATAACAATCATGAAAATATATCAAAAAGAAGGAAATTATAATAAATTTAACAAGGATTGATGAACGTATATTTTTTATTTATAATGAATTTATATATCTTTTTTTAGTGATGTTGCTGGGAGATAATAATTCTCTAAATATAAGAGACCTTGATTCAAGTAAGAACTATTTGAATATTAACATAACAATTATTATTAGTTGTTATTGACATCCAGGCAGTCCCAATAGGTATTTTATTTTAATATCATTATGTAATTTGCATTTTTTAAGTTAATGTTGTTGATGAAAGATCTGCAGTAAACTTATACAAAGAGTTCAAAATATGGATAGTAAAATTTCTATTTTAAAAATATGTAAATTTTAGGTACTTTACCATTTGACATAAGCAATTATGTTCAATTGGGTGTAGCCCCCAAAGACTTTAATATACTAGAGAGTATATATAGGTCACCCAATAATTATAAATTTCCAAGAGATCTTTCTAGCAGGAAATTAAAATTTCAATTTAATGTTTAACACTTGGCCTTGGTTGGCTTACTCACCTTCACAAAATGGGGCGTAAATATTGTGTTCTATTTGGACCAAAATATGCTGGTAAAGGTGAACAAAAATTAAAGCGACTTGTGAATTGCCCATATAGACGTTGGAAAGATGCAGGAGAGAATTTTGAAAATCAACAAAACAATTTATACCATAAAAATACACAAAATATTATATCATCTCTTAGAGTAATTAATGCTAATGATAGAGATTCTATCATTCATATAATAGGTAAACCATTAAAAATTATTATAAGAGAGAGGCCCACAAAGCTACCAGTTTAATTGGCCAACCTTTTGGGTTTCATATTTTATGGCCTTATAATTATTTATTTTTTATAAAGATCAAGGTAAAAAGAAAATAGCAAATGAAAATAGACGAAAATTATCTCCTATAATAGATGCAATAATTACATGTGGAAATCAATGTATGGCATTAAGAGGTCATCGAGATTCAGGTTTATTTAAGGATGATACAAATGAAAATGATGGGAACTTTAGAGCTATTCTCAGAAACCGAGCAATTGGAGGATGAGCTCAGGATTAACTTGTTAAATGCATCGAAAAATGCTACGTATTTAAGCCCCACCATTCAAAACGAAATCATTGATGTGTGTAATGATTTAATCTTAAGAAAGGTAGTTGCCTACATTAACAAGTCTCCATTCTTTTCAGTCTTGGCAGATGAATCAACTGATATATCTGGCATAGAGCAAATGTCCTTGTGTGGTCGATATTTATGTTCTGAAAATGGTAAAATTTATATTTATTTTATATAAATTATTATCATTTATATAGATGAAGTTCAAATAAAAGAAGACTTTTTGCAATTTATTCCGATTCAAGATATGAGAGGTGAATGTCTTGATGTTCATCTTAAAAAAATTAATATTAATGTTAATTTTATGCGGGGACAAGGATATGATGGTGCTTCTGCTATGAGTGGACATTTAAATGGTGTTCAATCACACTTAATAAAAAAATATCCTACTGCAATTTATGTACATTGTGCATCGCATTCCCTAAATCTATCCATTTCTGATTGTTGCTCAATTCCCGTTATTCGTAGTACCATGGGTTTATTAAACTTTTATTTTAATTATAATCATATATTTAAAAAGGCACAATAGGCAAGGTATATGATATGTTCAAGTATCCAAAAAGATCTAATGCCTCAAAAATATTCTGGCTAAGGAAGAATTTGGCAATAATCATCATAAACTTGTGAAAATGTGCCCTACAAGATGGGTCCTACGACATGAATAGGTAGCAGTTTTTCTTGAATTAGTTGACCCGATAATTGTTGTATTGGAGGAAATATGTGGATGGACAGATACATCAGTGGTGGCAGAAGCCAATGGAATCTTGAAAGCGATTCAAGATCCTGAGTTTTTATTGGCCATTAATTGCATTAACACTCTCTTCTGCCACACAATATTTTTATGCAGAGCCTTGCAAAGAGTGAACCAAGATATGATTCAGGCATTGATCTTAGCTGAAGATGCATATAATGCTATTTTACCGATAAGAAAAAATGCTGATTGTGAATTTAGAACGATTTTTAACAAAGTTCAAAAAAAAGTGCAATCTTATAATATGATAATAAGCATGCGAAGCATAGTATCAAGACAAGTACATAGGAATAATATTTCCTTACAATCAGTTGAGGAGTATTACAAAATTATTATTTTTATACCACTTATGGACACTTTTTTAACTCTAATTAAAGAATGTTTATTAAACCATAAACTTTTGCTAAGTAACTTTCAAATTTTGTTATCCTCTAATCCATCTGTGAACATTTCGGATGACATTAGAAATAAAATTCAGTATTTATATAATTTTTATTTGCAAGATATGGTAGACCGAATTAGAAGTAATAAGTGAATTTAAATATTGTTTTGCCAATTTAAAAAGAATGGATATAAAGCCTGATAATGCATTAAATGCACTGAATATTTGTAAACACACACTAATTGAATTTCCGAACATAACAAAATTATTTCAAATTATAGCATGCCTCCCAATTACGACATGTACAAATGAAAGAACTTTCTCTAATTTAAGAAGACTAAAAACATACTTACGAAATACTACCTCACAAAATAGATTAAATGGTTTAGCGCTATTAAATATTAATCGGGAATTAACACCAGATAATACTGAAATAATTAATGAATTATCAAATTCTAAAAGAAAATTAGATATAACATTATAAATTATTACCACGTTTTTGCATAATCTATCTTATATTACACAAAACATAAATTATTACCACGTTTTTGTATGATCTATCTTATGACATAACATAAATTAATACCACATTTTTGTGTGATCTATTAACAATAAACTAATAAAAATATATTTGATATTTCTTCCGGGCTTATTATTTTAGGATTAATAACCCAGCCGAAGGCCCGCCAAAAAGGGGGTCTGGGGGCGAAGTCTTCAGAAATTTTGTAATCCCCCCCCCCTTAGGAAAATCCTGGCTACGCCTAAGGTCTAATTTTTTATCTATCTCTTCTATCTAAGAAAACGTTAATCTTCTTATGCCGCAAAATTTAGATCGATAATTTTCTTCTAATCGTAAATCTACTTCAAAATCTTTAAGAGTACCTAATTCTTCTTTAAAGACTTCCTTATACCTATTCAATATATTCTTTATTTCTTTGTTGAAATTATCCTCAACAACATTCAGTTCTACCATATTCTTAATTCCTTGATGTTTGACTTTGACTAAATCTACCTCTATTGTCCTTATATCTCCTGTTTCCTTATTTTCTTCTATGTTGCTTCTATATCTAATTAAAAATTCTGGTACTCGATTTCTCAGTTTATCCAGAACTACTTCCTGTTTAACTACACAAGGTAACTCAGTCTTATCCTTATCCTCATTTCTTATTATCTTATTATCTTTTTAGTTAATTTGTTGTTTTCGCTGACATTTTCAAACAAAGACCACCAATTATAATCAGGACCTATCTTCTTAATGTCATTCCAACCTAAAATCGGCTCGATCTTTAAAGTAGTTATCCATAAAGTTATATCTTTATTAATTCCAGGCAACCTTATCATATAATAACCTAAAATTTTAACAATGCTACCATCTAATTGCTTGGCTCTTATCTTTCTTACCACAAATTCTTCTTCTGGCCAAAATTTATTGAAATCTTTTATACTCAACAGGCTAATCTCCGCTCCTGTATCCAATAAAAAACATAATCTACTTCCTTAATCTTTATATTAATTCTCGGGCATCTATTCTTCTTTAAAAAATCTTCTAATTCTATATTTCGTATTTCTTCACCAATCACATTATTTGTTCTATATATTTTAAAATTACTTTCTATCTTTCTATCTCTCATTTTATCTATACTACCATTATTATTACATGATTTATAATTAAAAAAATTCAAAAATTTATTATTAACAAAATTATCATAAAAATCAAAATTCTTTTCTAGTCAAATCTTACACCTTTCCTGTGTGTGTCCTTCTTGACCACAATTAGTACATCTCATGATCAAATTATTCATTCTACATCTTATTGCTACGTGGCCATTCTTGCCACATCTCGCGCACTTTAAATCTTTGGTTAATTCACACTGTCGCGACATGTGACCCGGCTGACCACAATTATAGCACCTTATCTGTCGGTAATTATCTATAGGTCTTATCTTATCTTCTTCTCTTATTAAATTTCTCAATTTTTCTACTTCTCTACTTTCTATTTTAATATAAGCCGTATTTCTTCCTATTGTTATACCTAATACAAAAACTAAAAACACAAGAACTATTAACAAAGTTATCCATTAAAAAATTCCTCATATTTATCTGTGCAATATACATTACAGAGTACTTAATAAAAATTTAATTAAAAAAAGTTTAATTGAATAAAGAAAAACTATAAATATTAAAAATACTGTATAACATAAATATTTCATTGATTTATATTATTTTTTACCTTAAATTTTCCTTTGTGAACTTTTCCGTCCCTGGTTCAATTTTATTTTATATTTTCCTCTCTCCAGCACCACTTTTAAGATTTGTGTGTGTTAGAGAAAGACTTCTAAGTTGAGAATAATTTATTTATTTAAAGATAATATATAATGAATCTAATTAATACAAAATACAATCGATTAATAAATTAAAGTTAACAATTTCGTATATAAGAAAAAAAAACATAATAATGGTTTTTTGATTTTTGTCATGCTTTATATATCTATGCATAAAATATAATCTTTTTTTCTCAAATTTGAATAATAATCTTTTTAGCTTGCATATTACAAAATATAATTTTTATACTTATTCATATAACAATTCATAAAATATAATACTTTTCTTAATTTTGAATAATCAACTTTTATGCTTCAACTTATCTCTTATAAAATATATTTTATTTTTGCTTAAATATTAAAAATAATCATTATTTGCATAATAATAATCATTTGCATAATACAACAATTAGTATCAATTTTTTTAACATAATATAAGAATACTTTTAAATTTTTAACGTAGCATAAAGATTATATCAATTTTATTTAAGAATTTTTTAAGAAAATGAACATGGGAAGCTGATTCCCTTGCTTATATGGACGCTTCGTTACTGCCTTATATATTTCATTTTTGCGATGAATAAAAAATTTCACACTCTGCCATTTTCCAGGCTGTGCACATTTATATTTATAATTCTAAATTTAAAAACATATTTTATTTTAACAGTATGATAAATATTTTAGCACATTTCATAGGTTTACGCTCCTTTATTTTCATAATAAAAGAGGGCGGTATTCTCCAGCTACTACCTATTATGATTTACAGTTTTCTTAGGGTTAGGCTTGTAGTATTTTACATGGTCTTTTGATATCCTTTACTAAATTTGCTATTTTATATTTATTTTGGATATGAACAAAAATTAACCAAATTATTATTGTCATAAGTCTCGGTTGTAGTATTTTAATAAGGGCTTAACTATAATATTCACATGAGCATTTGCAGATTTTATCCCCCAAAACTACCTAGCAAAAATCTTAGATTATCAACAAAATTGAAAATGATTTTCAAAAGACATGAAATTTTTTTTTAAAAAAATTGACTTGGAAGATTATCCCAATAGATTTATTTTAAAAGATATTTTACAACAAGGATCCAAAATTTTTAACAAAATTCATGCTCGAGTATTCTTATAAATGTTTTTCGTTTTTTATATTAAAATAAATATATATATAAATATTATGCTATATGATTGTCTATAACCCTCGCATTTTCCATTTTTGGAAGTGAAGAGAGCATATAATTAAACTATACGCCTAAAATAACTAATAATATTTCTAAATTAAAAAGGATACAAAAAGATTGATTTTTTAACTCATTTTCAAACACTAGTAGATGCGATAATAGATGGGATTCTTAAAAGTTGACTTATTATTATCGAATCAATTATATATTTATATCTTTTACTATTTTGATATATTATGATCACTTAATAATTTCATCTATAATATATTTTTTGGTTTTTGAACTCAAATGATTGGGTAAAACTTTCACAGAATGAATAATTAAAAATTAACTAGT